GAACTAAAGAAGAAGATTTTAAAAGTTTGTTACCCAATATAGTGCATTTGAACTGTGACCCCTACCATAATCGAAAGTTTACCTTTGACACTAAATGTTTCCTGAGAAAAAACATTTTGTTTGTTGATCTACAAAACATTTCCAAAGATAAACATTATAGGTTTTTACATATAGACGTCATTTTAAAAAGATCAAAGGAAATATTCAAAATGGCATAGAATGTTAACGGTACATGTTACAGATAAACTGAAGACATCAAAGTAATTGACATTTTTCGTATTAACATGCAGTGAGAAAAAGTTAGCCCCTAACGATTATCTTCAAATAATATATTTGCATGAATGCTGTATAATCAAGGGTTTTTAAATTATGACCATTTTAAGATTTTGACCTATGACGTCATGACGGCCATGTTGGAATTTGACCAACTTGAAAAAGCTGCATGCACATCTTATGACCTTGGCCTACAATAGACTTGAAAGCTTTCTGGGATAGAGCCCGACAAAGTTTGAGAAAAAAAATGACCTTGACCTTTTTTTTAAGGTCTCAGGGGTCAATTGTGTCAAACACTTCAACCGACTTCTTCTGAAGAACTGAAATGTATTGAATCTTCATATTTGGCTGGTGGCTTCCTAAAATAGAGCCAGGTAAAGTTTGAGAATGAAAATGACCCTGACCTACTTTTAAGGTCTCATGGGTCAAATATGTCAAACACTTCAAACGATTTTTCTGAATAACTGAAATGTATAAAATCTTCATATTGACTAGTTGCTTCCTTGAATAGAGCCAGACAAAGTTTGAGAATTAAAATGACCCTGACCTACGTTTAAGGTCACAGCACTCAAGTATGTGAAACGTTTCATACGACTTCTTCTGAAGAACTGTTAAGTATATAATCTTCATATTTGGCTGGTGGCTTCCTTGGATAGAGCCTAACACAGTTTGGGAATGAAAATGACCTTGACCTTCTTCCAAGGTATCAGGGATTAAATGTGTCAAACTCTTCAAAAGTCTTCTTCTGAAGAACTGTAAGGTATAGATTCTTCATATTTGGCTGGTAGCTTTCTGGGATAGAGCCCGACAAAGTTTGAGAATAAAAATGACCTTGACCTTTTTTTAAGGTCTCAGGGGTCAATTGTGTCAAACACTTCAAACGGTTTTTCTGAATAACCGAAAGGTATAAAATCTTCATATTCGGCTGGTTGCTTCCTTGAATAGAGCCAGACAAAGTTTGGGAATGAAAATGACCTTGACCTTATTTCAAGGTCTCAGGAGTCAAATATGTCAAACATTTCAAACGATTTTTCTGAATAACCGAAAGGTATAAAATCTTCATATTTGGCTGGTGGTTTCCTGGGGTAGAGCCAGACAAAGCTTGGGAATGAAGATGGCCTTGGCCTACTTTCAAGGTCACAGCAGTCAAGTATGTGAACCGCTTCAAACAACTTTTTCTGAACGACTGTAAAGTATATAATCTTCATATTTGGCTGGTGGCTTCCTTGGATAGAGCCTAACACAGTTTGAGAATGAAAATGACCTTGACCTTCTTTCAAGGTATCAGGGTTTAAATGTGTCAAATACTTCAAACGTCTTATTCTGAAGAACTGTAAGGTATATATTCTTCATATCTAGCTGGTTGCTTCCGGGGATAGAGCCCGACAACGTTTAAAAAAGAAAATGACTTTAACCTACTTACAAGGTCACAGGGGTCAAATATGTCAAACGGTTGAATGACTCCTCTGAAAAATTTAGAGCATAGATTTATAATATTTGGCTGGTAGCTTCCTGGGCCTCTTGTTCAATATGTCAACTTGAACGAATTCATGTAATTTGATAAAAAAAAAAAAAAAAAAAAAAAAAAAAGTTTTGTTTATTTAATTAATATAGAATTTGCTATTATTTTTTGTGCAGTCTTATATCGGTTTTGGTTGATGGTAAGTTATTTCTCATATCATTCTGTGTAAAATTGAAAGTTCATTGCATTACAAGGTTTACGTTTCATTGCGAACAGTGTTTATCGATATAAGAATGTCTCCTTCGTTCTTCGGAAGTGGAAACAAATTGGCGTTGAGATGTGCCCTTATTTGATAACGACATTTTTATACGTTTGTCAGACTACAAGAGAGACCTGTTCATGAATGAAATATATCACTTTTTCAGGTATCGGTTCATTTTGAGCAAGATAAAAAAAAATGTGTCAGTTTACAGACGATGACCAAACGTCTAAAATATCCTCGTGTAGTGTCCAGCAGGTCACGTAGTAACAATATATAGCTTGATAAAATGGCTGCTGCGCGGACATATATAACGCGCGGAAACCTATGACTAGACGATACAACTAACATTTTTAATATACCATTTTATGGCTGAATAAACTACTCAATTGTTCAAATTCAACAGATCATAATTTCAATATTTTTCAGTATTTTTATTATAAAATGTTATGAATATGCATGCACAATTTTGACGACAAGGAGACATCAGTCACATGTAAACAGGGTATAGGACACATCTTAATGTCGTATGTAAACAAGGTAGAGGACACACCAGAAATCAGTACAAAAAAGTTCATTAAACGTTTCATTCGTATAACAGGTAATGTTACAACAAACAATTGTAAAACAGGTAAATAATAACACTTATATATACAATGTAATATCACATATAGCACGAGGGATAACCTTGCAATATCCGATCAGTATCACTTTATCATTTTTGTGATCTGATATTGGTACTTATATACAAAAAAGGAGACAGGTACAACCCAGCAAATTACAGGCCAATATCAATAAACTGCATCACATGTAAACTCACGGAACACATTATAACAAGCGCCACAATGACACATCTAGAGAACAATAACATATTATATTCATTCTTTCCACACACAATGATACAACGGAATCTCTTTCCCAAAGCAGCAGTACAATGCAAAACACTCAAGGACTCCATGGCACACAAACCCTATGCAGCCATTGAAGCTAAAACATACGCCAGCTTTTACCTTTTATCTACACCCTGCACAAGCAAAAACAAAACAAAACTAATCACTGTAAACAACCCCCTTTTTTTTTTAACTCATATTGATATCAGTTAATACTGGCGGTAACCATGTCAGTCAAACCGCTTACTGTTCTGAAACAAAGTCTATCATAGTATAACGCGATGCAAATAGAGCAAATCACCTCCAATGGAAACAATAAGTGTGAAAATAGAAACAAATGTAAATATTTTAAGATGGGATCGGCAGATTTGGATAATAATTTCCATAAATGTTTAAGAAGAGCTCGGCAGATTTTGATAAAATCTTATATAACTGGATCCATAGTCAAATATGATCAACAATAGGTAGCAGAGTACAGTATAAATGGCTTGATCCTAAAATTAAAGGGCATGTATCGGATAAACATTGATAGCGGATTCATCCTGCACAACACACCTACATATATATATATATTTATAAACTATTTTGAACAGGGTTTTTTCGAAGAATGATTTTATTTTCAAAAAGTGATTTCCCCATATTTGGGACTAGTGAAAACCATGGTTACCACATCAAAAACGCCAAAAAATGCAAAATAACATGATTTGTGACCCAAACTATGACCCACGTAAGTAGTATTTTTTTCTTAAAACCTGTCTTAAATTAAATAACACCTACTCGGTAACAGAAATACTCACGTTATAGCATAGGTCGTTCAACAATATTTCACAATATTTATACATGTACTGAGTACAAAAATAGACTATATGAAAAGTTAGGTTTTGTTGTGTAGACACAGATTTGTAAATGGCAAAAATGGAGTCTCAAGCCAAATTCGATTTTTCTTTTCTTTAAATGTGAAGCCCACATAGTCCAATTCATCATGTATATGCCAATTTTAGAGCTGATTTTTTAAAAAGTTTTGATACATGTAATATTACAGGGGTTATTCATTGAACAAAAATATCACCCATGGCCACCGTACGCTACTGTACACTGCTATCATAGTTGTTTCAGACGCAAAATTGTAACTTTTTCAGCAGTTCTACTGATGTCAGAATTATTGTTATTTGAAACAATTTTGGAAATATGCGCGAACTTATTACGGATTATAAAGTTAATGCCCTCTTTAACATGTAATATTAACAAAATCAGTTGATAAATATATATATGTAGCAGTGTATCTGCTCTGGGATCGCTGTGTACTTAAGCACCACAGAAGACATCAGTTCAATTCCAAGATTTATTCTGGGTGTCGAATAAACCCTATAACAACAATATAACAGTACATTAAAACAAATTCTCAAACTTACACTACCTGAACGAGTTATGAACTCGTCCAAATCTAACACGACCGGTTAACGCACTCAGTACAAACACGCTTCACTATACAAGTACTACTAAAGTACAATACCGGATAACCCAGTCGCTATCATACATTACAGAGTCAACGCTCGTACGCTATGAATTACAATACATAATTCACTCTGTTAGTTAGTAATACAATATATATACATATCACGTTGTCGCATTGAAATTGACTCAATTACAGCACTTATGTTTATAAGAAATGCACAAAATTACAAATACTGTAAGTTACACTAAATACACAAATTTATACATTAAAGCAACAACCTACCTCTTCAAAAAGGGAAGAGGGCTTAAGGGACACAACCCGTGGATGACGGTATACCAGGCCACAGAACGAAACGTAGGATCTACAAATTATGTTAAATAATTAGCAAAGATAACAAAAGTTAACTTTCACCAGAATTTAGAAAACAATTATAATGAATGAAATATATCTCAACACACCTCTTCTGAATAATGTAAAAGATAAACGTGAACTCCAAACAACATGAAATTCAAATTACAAAAGATCGATTCACTCACAATTCAACAGAGAGCCTACTAAATATAATTCAACATCGATCTTTACCAGATGATACAATTACAATAATCCTAAAAGATACTTATTTACAATATAGTTAATGTACAACATGATCAGTACTTAAATAATTTCCAAGTACAAAGGATGAAAATGGCCTCTCTCAATAAAACCCAACCATCATCATACAAAGTCCACAGGTGTGTGAATTTACCGCGCGCCTTGCGCAATGCCCACTGGGTATTCAGATAAAAATAGACTCGCCCTTTGACATAGCAAAGAACCGGTTTATAATACATAATAAAATAAGACATACACTTGCGTCACAAAACACCGGACCGGAACTTGCACACTTCTATTAAAAATACAATAAACGGTCTACAAAATTGTACCCTACTACATCTATACACTGAAAAGCTGCACCGTAAATGATTTATTTTGTGGTATAAATGATGTGTATTTGTATGTTGGTTAAGGGCATCTGGTATACCCATTAACCGTCCCAACCCGATTCAGGGTCCCAAGGTCAAGATCATTGTTGCTTATTATAGGTCAACCAAAGGGTAATGTCTTACAGACATTTTCTTGCCTCATAATTGGAAGCAATTCAGAAATCATTGCCACAGAGAAAGTGTAAGTTAGTCTCCAGTAAGTTCATAACAGCATATATCTTCAACATTTAAGAATTGAGCATGTTTCTGATTAAAGTTGTCAAGTACCAGTTAAACCTCATTGTGTCCTATGTGACCAGTTCAAAACAAACTGGAGTATGTTTAAGCCCAGATAGTATTAACTGTTAAAACATTAGGTTGTAGCATTACTGGAAGTAACGTTGATGAAATTTGAAAGTGTTCCATTTCTCAAATTTCTTAACCACACCCCTAAACCACTTTGGTTTATTTTTTACTTCAGGGTCTGGAGAAATAAATTTATTTTCAAGAATAATTTCCGCGGATCAGCAAGGCCTTTAAGGCCAGTTCAGCTGAAACATTGGATTCTATTTCCTTGCTACATTAGGGCAATTATCACAGATATACAAAAAATATACATTTTGCACACGTTTTTGGTTCAACAGATTCAACTAAGGCTTATATACAATTTGCAATTATTATATGTTATCTCGATTGTTTTTATTGGGTAGAACTCATCACTCGAAGTTCTGTAGGAATTATCGTATGCTCCACACATTTCACTTCATCCAGAATAGAATCATACAGTTGTCACCCCTTTTCTGAAGTTTTTTTACCACACATTACAACCACATGTTCTATTTTACAGATGCGTCTCGGTCTCGGCGTTATATCAGGTTTTAACAGTGCTTCTTCGGTCCCATAACCGTTCTTGTTCTCCGGTTTTAACGGGTTCCTTAAGTCACATAGATGTTTGTTTCTACCGTTTTTAACAGTTGTGCCTCAGTCACATAGCCGCCCGTTATATGTGTCTCATTGGCAGATGTTAATTGTTGTCCTGACATCCCGACGTTGATCCTGTTTTCAGGTTTAGATACTACTGTAGCGGTCACATAGCCGTCTGTGTTTGGTGTTAACTGTTGTTCCGAGGTCACATCGTCGTCTGTGTTTGGTGGTAAATCTTGTTCCACGGTCACATCGTCGTCCGTAGTAGGTGTTGACTGTTGTTCCGCGGTCACATAGCCGTCTGTGTTTGGTGTTAAATCTTGTTCCACGGTCACATAGCCGTCTGTGTTTGGTGTTAAATGTTGTTTAGTTGTCGTAATCTCTGGTTTTATCAGTGGTGTTTTTAACAGGTGTTCCTTTGTCATAGAGTCATTGGGTTTATCTGTGGTTTTGTAAGAATATTGGCCTGCTATTAAATACGTCTCCACACTGGAGCCATTGTATCTGAAGTTACTGTCTTTTTCCTGACTGCCACAATACGCTAGGTCAGGACTTGGTGATTCCTCTCTAGAATCTACTGGTATCAGGGGAACCGTTTCGTGCGATTCGCTAGAACTCTGAAGTCTGGAATTACCATCGCTAGGAATACCGATACCGGAATCTCTCTGTTAAGAAAATAATATATACAGTAAGTTTAAATCGTACTTGCCTGAAAACAATACATTTGAATTATGTTTCTGTATCGTAAAGAAGCAAACTAATACATACAAGGCGCTTTTATATGTGTGTGTTTTATGTAATAAGCATGCTGGCACCTAGCCAATTACCAAGCTCGCCGTTGATGAACTAGTGAGCAATTCCAGAGTTATGCCGCATCATCGGAAAAGTTAGTTTGCCAGTAAGTCGATATTTCTCCCCTCTTATTCCTTGACTTCTTTTCATTGCTAAAATAAAGGTTGAGACTAAATCTGAAATACGCTCCTATATCAAAGAACGGCGCGCCAAAACAGATACATCCAGCGTTGTACAGCACGAAAGGCACCTCTGTCGTCACATTGAGAATTGTTTTCAGGCGAATGACATTCGAGAGGACACACGGCCAGACAGGCCAGTTATTACAGCATACAAGAAGAACATTGCTGCTATGAAAGTAATAATTAAGGACGATGGTGCGTTAAATTGTTTCTGAGATAACTCATCAGAATGCAGTACACATCACGTGCTTGATATTAAAGAAGCATTGTGCCTAGTGGATCCCCTATTTGCTGACATCTGAACAAAAGGACAAATGTTTGAAATGTGCTGTAGATATATTTTAAATGTACGATAATTGCGACTTAAAGGGTATGTTCCTGGGGCTATTACTTTGAACCACAGTGGCGGATTAGTAGCAAGCCATGTGTCTTGCCGGTATACCAAGGGAGAACTACCGCACATCGTTTACGTCATGGATAGCGCGATTGCGAAACTACGTTTCTGCTAAGGGGGATACTTCGAAGGATTGTAATAGAAATGGTAAACTGTCGTATTTACCACTTTTGTGTACGTACGCGTCGCTGGTCATTTATGAATGCATACCGTACTAATATGTTATATAGAATTTCAACAATATATAGCTCGTAGCTGTCAGGAAACAGACATAGAGTAACAACATGTCCTGAGCCATGAGAAAGATTTTATTTCTCTCCATAAACCTGATTTAAAATATATCCTCACCCATGGAAGGGATGTGTGACACTGGAATAATGAATTTCACAGTTGTGATAAAGTAGTATCGTTTTTTTGTTTTTTTGTTTTTGTTTTTATTTGAAGATGTCAATTTTGATTCAAGCATATATGTGTATGAAGAAGAAAAATTGCTAAATAATGTTTGCAAATGGATATTCTGTATTGCCTGCCCCTCAGGCCTTTGGGGTGAGTTAGAGTCTTTATGTCCTGCCCCTCCGGCCTTTGGGGTGAGTTAGAGTCTTTATGCCCTGCCCCTCAGGCCTTTTGGGTGAATTAGAGTCTTTATGCCCTGTACCTCAGGCCTTTGGGGTGAGTAAGAGTCTTTATGCCCTGCGCCTCATGCCTTTGGGATGAGTTAGAGTCTCTATGTCCTGCCCTTCAGGCCTTACGAGTGAGTTAGGGGTCTTTATGCCCTGCCCCTCAGGCCTTTGGGGTGAGTTAGAGTCTTTATGCCCTGCCCCTCAGGCCTTTGGGGTGAGTAAGAGTCTTTATGCCCTGCGCCTCAGGCCTTTGGGGTGAGTAAGAGTCTTTATGCCCTGCGCCTCAGGCCTCTGGGATGAGTTAGAGTCTTTATGTCCTGCCCCTCAAGCCTTACGGGTGAGTTAGAGTCTTTATGCCCTGCTCCTCAGGCCTTTGGGGTGATTAAGAGTCTTTATGTCCTGCCCCTCAGGCTTTTGGGTGAGTTAGAGTCTTCATGCCCTGCCCCTCAGGCCTTCGGGTAAGTTAGAGTCTTTATGTCCTGCCCCTCAGGCCTGTGGGGTGAGTTAGAGTCTTTATGCACTGCCCCTCAGGCCTTACGGGTGAGTTAGAGTCTTTATGCACTGCCCCTCATGCCTTTGGGTGAGTTAGAGTCTTAACGCCCTGCCCCTCAGACCTTTGGGGTGAGTTAGAGTCTTTATGCCTTGCGCCTCAGGCCTTTGGGGTGAGTTAGAGTCTTTATGCCCTGCGCCTGAGGCCTTTGGGATGAGTTAGAGTCTTTATGCCCTGCCCCTCAGGTCTTCGGGGTGAGTTAGAGTCTTTATGCCCTGCCCCTCAGGCCTTCGGGGTGAGTTAGAGTCTTTATTTTTATAGTTTCTTACTGCTATCATATTTCCTACAGGTTAATGAAATTCGCAATAAAGCATCTCGGGAAATTGCGAGCCACAAAGAGCATTCGATTTTAGCATCTTGGTCTGAAAAGACTAAATAGATTTTTGCCATCGCCCTTCAGGCCTCTGAGGGGCGAAAGCATTATCGTGTACATATCTGGTTCATCTTTGGTCATGGAAGGCTTCATGCAAAATTTGATTTAAAACAATGTTGTGGTATTTGTGAAGTTAAATATGTGAATGCTTAAGGACGTAAGACGCACGATGCCGACGCACAACAACAGACACAATAGAGGTGATAACGGTCAACATATGTAATTATATAGGTAAACCATATAATATATATAAAAACAAATCCCTAGGATGAAAAAAACACACACGGTTTCTTTCAACGACTAAATAACTTTAACATGTACTTTCTTCTTATTTTCTAATAATCATTTTTAGTGTGCAGGAAAATCAGAATTTTATTTGACAATAAACCGAATTATATGATAAAAACAATATTAGTCAGTGTTATATGATTAACATAAAACATAACATACATGTCTTAAATATTTTATTTTTAATGTTATTTTTAGATATTATAATTTTGTGAGCTTTTAATTCGAATTTGATATGATTTTTAGACCATTCACATTGAGTTCTATTTCAAGGCATTTTGATTTATATATGTATTGTTTTACCGTGAGTAATATCAAGTTATCCAAGTTGAACTTTAAATATTTATTAATTTGCTTGCCAAAGATAAATTCTTTTTTATTAAATCGAAGACCAAGATTTTTAGCAATAATAGTAATTCTTATATTTTCTATCAAATTAGATACCTTTTCACAATCCCATAATATATGTGTTATTGTTTCTGCATGAGATTTATAAAAAGTGCACATATTATTATCTAATTTACCAATTTGAAATAAACATTTGTTTGCGGTTAGGATTCTATGATTTATTCTGAATTGTAACCATTGTAGTTTGGAACTGGTACAGGTATTGAAAGGTATATATTGTTCCACATATCTTCATCAATATTGAAATTTTGATTCCATTTATTTTGGGCGGTGGGTTAAACTTCATTTTTGATTAATATGTTATATATTCCACGAGCCCCTTTCTTACATCTTGAGATTTATGGGTATATTTGGTAGCATAATATTATTTTCTGAATCGAAAATGCTACCGGTATATGGTATAAAGTGGTATATTGGTGATAAATATAATATATTTATATAAAAATCATAACTCGTTGCATACTTCCTTTCCTTCTTTCTAAATGGCCAAAAGTCTCCTTTTTTTTACTTACACCGTCATTAATATCTGGAGGTTGTATTTGTTTCATATCCTTATCCACCATGCTCAAGTATTGACTGAAATGTAAAAAAAATCATTTTAATGTCTTTTTAAAGCATTTGAAATGGATAACGCAATATCATAAAAATGTTAAAAGTAAAACCACTGCTTATTGTGATTTATAAAGACTGCTCCTTGAGGTAGTATCGAGATTCTATTTTTTGTTAACCTTCCTTTGTTGTAAAGTAAACCTACCTGTCTCGCTTTCTTGAAAATAACATAAATATCCCTTCTTGTAATAATCTTCCTCCGTAAAAAATAAACATACTTGGATCCTTTTTCTGGTGAAAACATCTTCATTAACTTCAATTTGGGAGACAAACCCCTCAATTTTGAAAAATATGTTTTTGTAAAACACCTTCATTGAAAAACGATAATATTTCTTTTTTGGTAAATATATGTTAATCTTTCTTTTTATATTTAGCGGATAAAGAAGTTGGCCCTTTCCTTAAACACACGTGTCCCCTTTAACCACTATTGATCTAGTACTACGGATGAGTCTAAAATGGACGAAACGCCATTATGGTGCAGTGTATATATGTATTTATTTATTTTATTTATTCATTTTATAAATTTATTCAAATCTTTTTATTTTTCATTTATTTTGGTTTATTTATTCATTTAATTATTTTTAGCAATTCTGCATCAACTTTATACATTTTAAGTAGATGCTTCATATTTGTTGTGAAATTGTCATAACATTTGATCCTGCATTGTTTTGTACCACACTTGTCTGCCTCTCTTGCAGAACCCTGGTTTACCTTCATTGTAAAACAAGTGCCTCTCTCATTGTTTGCAAGCTTTTTCCTCCCTTTTCTATAATAGCACATGCTTTAATNACACACACACACACACCACCCCCCACACACACACCACACATTTGTGTTGTCTCCTTCTTTTACCAAATGCATTCACATCCTTCACCTAACACTTAAATGTGCCTGACTCCTTTGTTAATTTATTCAAACTATTCCTTGCTGTAAAGTCAACTTTTCATAACTGTCTCTCGCTCCCTCGTATACTCATTTACCTCCCTTTTAGTTCCTTTCGATGCATACCTACCTCGCTTTCCTGCAGCAGCACACCGCCACAACGATGAAAAGCACAACCACGGCAACACTAACAACAGTTATAACCACGTACTTCGTGTAATTTGGTTCCTCTGCAACAGACATACAACCATCTTAATTATACACTGTTCAACATTAAATATTATTAGGTTATAAAGGACTCTGTATATGGAAAGCAAAGTAAAATTGATAATTTATCATTATATTTTATTCTAACGATGTGATATATGTGGTATATTACGAAGCGTTAGTAATGTAATTATTTACAAGTTTACTAGCGTACCTGGTGTGTGTGTTGACATCAGTTACGTTCCTCTGTCATGTAACTTACCATTAATGACGAATGTGCCTGGTCTGGTGGGTATGCTCAACCCCCTTGGGAATTGACTTTGTATCCACCATTCGTATCGTCCGGGGGGCAAGTCTGGCACGAGATAGGACTCACTCGACATCGGCACATTTATCACTGAAACCACAAAATGAACATATATACATAAACACAAAACGTCGCGAAAATTCAATAAATGTTGAGATAAGCTTCAATTATTTACAACAAATACACCGCATATAAATAAACGCATGCAACTCGCATTCGATTGGTAGCAAAACAAATTGTGTTTTAGTAAACATACGACGTGTACAACAAACATGGTTGATACAAACTGTTAAATTAACATAAATAAAAATTCAAATGTACGCCTATTTTTTCTCACTAATACACTCGACCATATATACCCATAAGATACTCGGTTCAACGCCATTTTATTCATAATTGTACAACAAAGAACCAAAACTACGCGCGATACTAAACCTCTACTGTGACGTATCGTACTTGTTCCCAGTGTGACTACTATTCTTTGTTCTTATCACTTGATCTGTGTGTCTATAAGTGTTATATTATTACATCGTTCGTGTTTAAATGATCTCAACGATTGTGTTGTTGAATTTCAGGAATACATGATTGATTTTGTTTGGTTTAGTTTTACTTTGTTTAACGTTCTGTTATTAGCTAATGTCACTCCATGTGTGCAATCCATGTGTCCATGCGTGTATGAGTGATGGAGGCAGGGTATGTTGGTCGCTTTACTCCTTACGATACCGCGGATTTGTTGCGGACTTTATTGTGGTCTCTCACAGAAAAAAACTCGTCAAAGGCACCCAGCACAGTATTCACCCGGTCACATTACACTGTCAACGGCTTGTGATTACCCATATGCTTTTATCAGGAAATGGCAGCTACCATTTGAAGTACTTTGGTATGTCCCGGCCTGGGGAGGGAACCCATTGCCTTTCAACACGAAAGCCAAAAGTAAGGTGCCAAGAAAGGCACTAGGAAACGAAATAGGTTTGAAGTTGAAGAAAGTAGAAAGACGGTAAAAATGTTGCAATGGGGACAGTAGACCAAGTTTCCTCAGCAGAGAACACAGAAACCCGAATTCTACAGGAGGCCCCACATTATTTGCTTTTTACGACATGCAATAGGATACAATATACCTACTCTCTCCTCGAACCTGCAGGATTAAACACCCTAAAGGATAAACGACTCCATATTTACTGAACATTACAACTACACTATGTAAATATGACTTCAATAACGATAATGTTTGAAAACCATAGGTAGCGATTGTTCTAGGTATGAATGTCACATTGTTAGAATTTCTAACAAGCGTTACACTTCAACTTACTACAGTATTGAAGCGGTTGATTCTTTGTTAATTACATTGTTCAATAAATGATCGTTAGTATAGACTTGCTTTAGTTATTTCTTTGTAATTAGGAAGTAAGAGTAGTTTTGATTGGCTAATGAAAGAAGGCATTTCATTGGATGGCTAGGTATATAAATAGAGGTTCCATCAGATGAAAAGCTTCTCTTGCTCTGGCGGTCGAAGAAAAAAAGGAACAACTCTAAAAAGGTAATCAGTGACCAAGCTGTATAAGTTTGGGCCTAGCTGCATAAGCTAGGGTTCCACTGTATTCCTTTATAGTACATGGTTAAAATAAATTGTGTTACAGTATAGTGTACATAGTCACAGGGTATCACAGTACAGGGCGACGTACTGTTGATACAGGGTGACGGATATATTGTGATACAGTTGTTTTAGTTGGCTTTTTGTCTATATTAGTGTTAGAGGTATATTAATGTAAAATATCTACCGGGTGTAGATTAGGTAATAGTTATTTGAGTCAGAAAGACGGCCATTATTTTGTATATATTGCCGGCACTTGTTTGTTACAACAATTACTGGGTCCAAGAACGAACTTGGTAACGAACTGTAGGCACGCATCCGTTACATATATTTTGGTGGCAGCGTAGTGGGATCCAGTCACTGTTGTGATAGTTTTATATATTTATCTATAAAGGCATTATAGTGTGTTGGTAGTTTAATTTTACATTCTTTGAAATAATAGGATCAGTTGTTCACAATGAATGACTTGGACAGCGAGATAAGTGATTTGGAGGAGGAAAAAGCAACGTTAAGGGAAAATAGAATAAGGCTCAAATCACAACCAACCCCTTTGTCCAGTATCGTTAAACAGGTAGAAGGTGATAGACATAGGGACTCTGGTTTAGGAACTACACGGCGTTCTAGTGATATTGTTGGTCATAAAGATACTAGGGGAGATGTTACAGACCGGCGTCCATCAGTAAGGTTTGATGATACTCCCATGCACACCCGTACTCCTGATGAAATTGGACGTATGTCTCAGAGACGCAGTGAAAGAAACAGGGATATTGTACATGAGAGGGATCAGAACTACGGAGAGACTTGCTATAGTCCGAGGAGGGTGACACATGATATTCCCATGATAGAAGGACATGATTTCAACGATGAACGTGTTACTGTGCGGCAAAAGAAATCAAATTACCAGGATCAGGGGATGTATGATGAAGCTTTAGCTACGATGCAGAAGCCAATGTCTAATTATATGAAACCGGCAACATATGATGGGACAGGGTCCTGGCTGGATTATCAGGCACATTTTGAGGCATGCAGTAAAATCAATCGTTGGACCGAGTCACAAAAAGGGTTATATCTTGCTGCATCATTGAGGGGACATGCACAGACAGTGCTAGGGAATATGTCAAAGGACGAGCCAGGTCAATATACACTATTGACAGCAGCACTGGAGGCGCGGTTTGCTCCGACAAACCAAACGGAGTTGTATCGCTCAATGCTAAAGGAAAAGAGATTAGGCCCATCAGAGACAATTCCTGAATTAGGCGAAGGAATCAAACGATTGACATATCTGGCGTACCCTACAGTAACGAGAGATGTTGCAGAGATGATGGCTAAGGATCACTTCATTGACGCTTTACCAGATTTCGATATGAGACTGAGAATTAAGCAGTCAAGACCAAAGACTTTGAACGAGGCTGTTGGATTAGCAGTTGAGATAGAGTCGTTCTGTAAGGTGGAAAGGGACAGAAGGGACGAAAAGAAGTATGTTAGGTCTGCCTCTGGTGAGAACGTTTATCACGATACCAGTCAAGGGAATAAGGCTATGGAGAATCTGACAACCATGCTTGGGTCCCTACAAAAGTCTATTAAGAAACTTGAAGAAGAAATGCATGATTTAAAAGCAACGAAGAGAGATACACAGGGAAATAGTAAAAAGGACCAAAACAAGCAACCATATGATGCACAGAAAGGACGCTACAGTATACAGTGTTACTTCTGTAAGGAAGAGGGTCACATGAAAAGGAAATGTCCCAAGTATTTGGCAATGATAGCAAAGGACACGACAGATAAAACATCAAACGCCAGTCACTTGAAATGTGTACAAGGATGTAAAGGTGCAGAGGCAGGACTTTTTGTACACTTGGATATCAATGGAGTTCAGGCAAAATTCCTGATAGACACAGGTGCTACTGTGTCATTAGTATCAAAGCAAACATACAAAGCTATCAATGACCGGAACCGGCTAGATCTTCAACCAATGACGCGGGATATACTTGGAGCCAATGACCTACCCTTGGCAGTAGTAGGGAAAGGAAGTTTTCGCATAACTATAGACTATTACAGTTGTGAGTGTACAGCGGTTGTGGTTGACATGCAGCTAGATGGAATCATAGGCTTAGACTTCCTGAAAGAAAGCAAAAGCATTATTGATTGTGCGCAAGGAAAGATGAGAATTGGTCGGAATGACAGTTCATTATCATGGCAAGGTAATTTGGGATGCTACCGAGTCAGTATGAAGGAGACGCTCAGTATAGCGCCAAGATCAGAGATAATTTGTGAGGGAATAGTGCAAGTTCCTGACAATGAACAACTTCGTGGTGAAGCCTGTATCATGGAGTCTTGTGAGAAGTTTACGAAGACAGGAAAGGCTCTGGTAGCTCGGGCCGTTGTCAAGGCACAGAAGACTGTTCCTGTACGCTTACTCAATCCATCGGATCATGCTGTGAAAGTGTATCGTGCTACACACATTGGACAAATCAGTCCAGCTGAGAGAGTACTTGACCAGGACGTGGTTGATGATACATGCTGTTTTAAATATCAAGATTTACCAGAACATCTTGTGCAACTCTACAATGAAGTTAGAAAGGACTTGGCTCCAGAGCAGGCAGAGCAGGTCAAGCAACTCTTATTGAGGTCACAGGATTTGTTTGCCAAATCAGACGATGATTTGGGAAGAACGAGTATGGTGAAGCATACAATAGATACTCAGAATACAAGGCCTATTAAACAACCCCCAAGGCGATTTCCACACCATGCAGCAGAGGAAGTTAATCAGCAGGTCCAAAGTATGTTAGACAGAGGAATTATAGAACCATCGTCTAGTCCGTGGGCATCGGGCGTAGTCTTGGTACAGAAGAAAGACGGCAGTTTAAGGTTCTGTGTGGACTATCGTGCCCTGAACAAGGTAACGATAAAGGACGCATACCCATTGCCCCGGGTAGATGAATCACTGGACAGATTGTCGGGAGCAAAGTGGTTCTCAACACTGGACTTATTTTCGGGATACTGGCAGGTTGAAATGGACGAAGCAGATAAGCAAAAGACTGCATTTGTAACCAGAAGTGGGTTTTACCATTTCAACGTGATGCCGTTTGGACTTTGCAACAGTCCAGCGACATTTGAACGCCTGATGGAGACAGTGCTGGCTAAGCTTCATTGGGAAATATGCCTGGTGTACATTGATGACATCATTGTTTTAGGGAAAACGTTTCATGAAGCAATAGTCAACTTGGAAAAAGTGTTCGACAGACTACGTCAGGCAGGACTAAAACTCAAGGCCAAGAAATGTCATCTATTTAGAAAACAAGTGTTATTCCTGGGTTACATTGTTTCAGGAGATGGCATATCAACAGACCCAGAAAAGGTGAAAGCAGTGAAAGAATGGCCACTGCCTGTGACGCAGACAGATATGAGGTCATTTATTGGACTTTGTAGCTACTATAGACGTTTCATTCACAGGTTTGCCGAGATCGCAAAACCACTTCACCAGCTGACAGAGAAGGGAACATCTTTCACTTGGACAGACAGATGCCAAATTGCATTCGATACGCTTAAGAAATGTTTGATCACAGCACCAATCTTAGCCTACCCTGATTTTACCAAACCATTCATCTTGGACACAGATGCGAGTCAATTTGCTATTGGTGGAGTCTTGTCCCAGTGTATTGATGGCAAGGAGAACGTGATATCTTACAGTAGTAGAGCACTTACCAAGTCAGAAAGGAAATACTGCGTAACCCGGAAGGAGTTACTAGCAATGGTATATTGTATCAAGCAGTATCGACCATATCTCTACAAACATAAGTGCATAGTGAGAACTGACCATAGTGCACTCAAGTGGCTAATGAGATTCAAAGAACCAGAAGGACAGTTAGCTCGTTGGCTCGAGGTCATTTCAACATATGATATAGAAATCCAGCACAGAGCAGGGAAGTTGCACCGAAACGCAGACGCAATGAGTAGGATTCCCTGTCACCAGTGTGGATTCTATGAAGATTGGGAACGTGACCAAGGGGAGGGACCACTTCCTGTACGAACGATCAAGAAGGATGGTAACCCAAAAGTGAATATTGACAAACAAGATGAAGATACAAGTACATTGAAAGAAAAGCAGGAGGCCGATAGCGATCTGAAATTAGTAACTGAATGGGTAAAGAGCGGGAAAAAGCCAAATCCAGGTTCGGTAAAGCCTCTGAGCAATGTGGTAAAATCCCTTGTTGCACAATGGGATCAATTGACTATTGACAACGGTTTACTGTGCAGACGTTGGGTAAACCCTTCAAAACACAAAAAGAGTCAAATAGTTGTACCATATCAGGAAAGACGAACCATGCTGAACATGTGTCACGACACGAGAACTAGTGGGCATCTAGGAGTGCACAAAACACTGAGTCGTGTGAGACAGAAGTTCTACTGGCCTGGCTTGCAAAGAGATGTTCGACAGTATATTGCTGGGTGCAAACATTGTGTATGTAGGAAAGAATGTGCAAAACGACGAGCACCTATGCAAATAGAGCCTACAGGATATCCCATGGAAAGATTGGCGTCTGACATACTCGGACCATTACCGGAAACAAAGGACGGAAACAGATATATTTTGGTAGTAAGTGATTACTTTTCCAAGTGGACAGAAGCTTTTGCCATGCGAAATATGGAGGCCAGTACAGTTGCTGCACTCATCGTGGAAGAGGTTGTTGTTCGTTTTGGTGTACCAAACGCCATACACTCGGATCAGGGGCGACAATATGAAAGCAAACTGTTTCAAGAGATGTGTCTTTTGCTTGGCACCAAGAAAACGAGAACTACGCCATATCACCCGAAATCGGACGGTATGGTAGAAAGATTCAATCGGACTCTTGCAAGCATGCTTTGTGCCTATGTTGATGAGTGTCAGGATGACTGGGATGTTCACATACCTTACGTTATGATGGCGTACCGGTCAACAGAACAGGAAAGTACAGGGTTTACTCCAAACATGCTTATGTTAGGGAGAGAGGTTTCTACCCCAGTTGATCTGTTCTATGATCTCCCTAACGAGTCTAAACCAGTTTTGCAAAGTCAATGGGCTTGGGAACTTAGAGAGAGGTTGGTTTCGGCTCATAGGTTAGCCAGAGAAAACTTGGAGGGGGCGATGTTGAGACAGAAACATTACCATGACCTGAAACTAAAATGGGATAGTTACGAGACGGGGGAGTTGGTCTATGTGTTTTTCCCTCAAAAGAAGGTTGGCAGGTCATCAAAGCTGATGAGTTTTTGGCAAGGTCCTTTCAAGGTAGTTGAAAAA